CCCCAGCCAGCTTTGCTGGCTGGGGACTTCTGGGAGTCGAAGTCCGCCAGGCTTCAAGGGCCCAAGGTTGGAGACCCCTGCCGTACGGGACCTCCTCCGTAACTCGCGCGAGACTCACGGCCGCACTAGCACGCCTCCCTCGCGTTCCTCTAATGGCACGAGACACGCCACCCAAAACTTCCGGGTTCATGCCGTTTTAAGTGAAGACAGTGGTTGGTTCAAAATAACGCTTTGCGCGCGCCCACGCCCACCGACTTTACCCCACCGGCAGCAGTGCCTTGTCTTGCTTTGAGGCGACCAACAACCGGGCTGTTTTCTTCTTCGTAGGTTCTTAACATCTCTGCTACACCCATTACTGTTTTTACGATATTTTTGTTAACAGATGTCCATTTATTCTGTTGTCTGTGCTCTCTAACACACGCGCGCTGGAACCTCAGCGGAACGTGTCCTCATTTCACCAGGATTGTTTTTTTTTTTTTTTTACGCCGTCAAGTACGAAGAGCAACTTTAGTGACCTCTAACATCACGTGACAAAGCACACCCCCCCCCCCCCCCAAATCGTTGTAGTTCTTCGCGCTTTTAACTTCCAAAAAGCTGCGGAGTTTCCAAGTTTGTGCCTGTTGAAAAGAAAGTCTAGGAAATGGGCCTTTGCGAGCAAATTTATCTTGCTTTTCTCTTGGGGAATTCTCCGTGAGGTAAATTCACCTCTAGCGCAGTGGGCAGAACAAACCGGTTGAGCCTGCAAGCAGAGAGATGGGTCTTTTTTCTATTCAGGCGAATCCGGAGACAACCCACACGGGGTCCTAATGGATCTGGGTCCTGACGTGACCTTTGTAGGCTCGATAGGCATGAGCCGGGAAGTAGAAACCGGCGCTGGTTAGGGAATAGGCTCTTAAGCACCGGCAAGATCCCGCTTTGAGGATTTATGAGCTGGGTGTGGGGAGCGCATGTGAGGAGGAGGAGGCGGTGGTGGAGGCGGAGGCCGTTGGGACAGCATGGTGAGTTTGAGGAGAAAAGTAGAAGGAAAAGAAGGAGTTTGGATTGACTTCATCTAATTATTATGTTCTCGGTTGGAAAAAGAGGCCAGTGAATATAGAATTTCTCCTCAGTTTGCTCACGTTAGGGGTATAGGACTCTTTCGATTTCAAGGTATATTAGTAAACAGCGGCACTCTAATGTTCCTTGTTTATTATAGATCACAAATATTTGCAAAGTTTAATGGGAGCATACCTTACAAGCAATACAAACTTGTAAATAAAAATGCCATATATATTATTTAAGACAAGGTTATGATCCTTCCCATTGGGCAGCTGGTGATACTGTAATTTACTTTGTAGGGAGAAAGAGTCCAGCTTGAACAGGCTTCTGTGTTTGTTGCTTGCCTTTCTTCATCTCTTAAGAAATCTTTTCCATGTTTTTTCTGTGTTAATAATATGATTGGCCTTGGTAAGTAGGCAGTGGCATGTTTATATCTATAAACAACAAAAAGGAATCCAGTGATTAATGATAAGCATATGTTATTACTCCATAAGGAGTTTTGGATGATTCATTTAATCCGTAATAGTTTTGATGTAAAATAATTCAGATGCAGATGTTCAGCAGCACAGTTTAATGAGGTAAAACAAATATTGGAAGAGAAGACAAAACATTTTTGTTTAGTACTCTAAAAAGTTAGTCCTGGTTTTCAGTTATTCTAATTGATTTTTTCAGAGAAGATAATTGAATTATTTACAGTATTGATTATAATATAATATAATCCATTTGCCATAATGGAAGTTAAACCATACAAAAAGTTAAAGAACATAAAAGGGTATACAGTGTTACTGACATTCTGCAGACATTAATGAAAACATGATTTTTTATTTATACAATTGCCCAGGTGGCCAAAGGCTACTATGATTAGTATTTTAAGTTGCTATGACATCCAACTCCCAATGACTGAGTATCTCACAAATAAAAATACTGAAAATAAGAAAAATTAATACAATAATAGAGAAAAGTAAAGGAATAAAACGGTAACAACAATGGGACAGGAACAAAAGAGAATCAAACCTCCACAAGAGGCTTCAACAAAGATGTGGTCAAAGATCCAGGCCTTTAAACTCTTTGAAACACCAGCATCAGGCTCTCAGGGAGAAGGGGACTTCATTGGAGAAAGCATGGGTTACTACAGAGAAGGTACAGTTCTGGGGTCTCAGTAGATGGCATTTGAAAATCAAAGGAATCCAGAGTGTTATATAGGCTGGGTAGCTACTGTGAGAGTTCCCCTCAGGTAAGCAGACCCTATGCACTGCAGCATTTCCACTGTATCTTATGTAAGGAGGAAATCATTGATCAGAGAAGGATTTGATTAATTGAACTAAGTTACCAACCTTCATTGTTATGAATAGTTATTTGTTTTCTTCTTAACCTAAGACAACTCTTGAACATTTGTTTCGTGTAGTGGATAAGACATCAAGCTAAAAACTGAGGCTGTGAGTTCTTGTCTCACTTTAGACATAAATCCAGCTAGGTAATCTTGAGCCAGGCACTCTCTCTCAGTTCTAGGAAGTAGGCAATGGTAAACCACTTCCAGAGAATCTTGCCAAGGGACTGGTCTAAGCAATTGTCAGGAATAAACACTGAACTGAATCTAAGCCCATCCCTCCAAAAAAGCAAAAGCCAAATCTAGTGAGACATCTGTAATGTACCAAAATCTTGATTTTAGTCTTAGTTTTAATTCTGCCTACTCTGCAGAAGAAAAATGTGGTTCCCATTATGTTAAGTTTTAGATATCATTACAAAAAGCTAAATCGTTTTCTCATTTTAATGCAGAATCTTTATAAATATTTATATATGTATTTTGTTTGGTTGTTATATTGTCTTATGAAATTGCATCAACAGTGACATTTGGGAATAATTATGTATCATGTGGGTAAGATATATATGTATCAGACTTAATCTTTTTGCTTCGTGTCATGTATTTTATTTCTATAGCATATATTCCTAACATTATGAAAACAAAGTAACGAACACAATATCCCAAATTCAACATATTAAAATTAGATGGAAAGATTAAAATCAGTCAGAAGGAAGTTAAAGGGGCCATGCTAAACATATTGTGTAAGGGTGGATAATCTTTGGCCATGATGCCTGACACAAAAGGAGCTAGTATTAAAACAGCTGTTGTTTGAGTAGAAGCACAAGTTCTGTATCAACTAAAAGAAAAGTGAAACTATGCTCAACACTGACATGTTTCCTTCTCAGAACTTTCAACCCAGATTACCACCCAGAACTTTCCATAGGAAAAAAAGATTGCCACCTCTATACTGTATAATGGATGAATTTTGTGAACTAAAATAAAGTCCTGTTTTCAAAAATAGATGGATATGTCTAAGGACTTGGTGCTTATAGTAGAATTCTTAGTTTTAGTTTTTCTGGACTTTTAGAGTACTTTGGTACTGACATAATCTCAAGAGCAGCTTCTCTTGACCAAAGGATCTTTTTCTTCATACAATAAAAAAGGTAAACATCCATAGAAACTGAATTTGTAGTCATGTTTCCTGGGTTATATATTATCCTGGCCAAATGTGTTCGCATGCTCTCTCTCTCTCTCTCTCTCTCTCTCTCTCCCTCTCCCTCTCCCTCTCCCTCTCCCTCTCCCTCCCCCTCCCTCCTAATCTTACTTTGTTATTTCATGCCCTTTATATTTAACTTGTTCCATCAACCTTGAAAAAGGTGCCTGGCATGATGTGGTCACTTACTATTGACTTATAGATATTGTTTTAATATTGTTTCATACTGTCCAAAACAAATAGTTTCTTAGGTTAATATGGGGCACAAAAATATGTAATCAGTTTTCTTGCCCTTGAAAAAGTACAATTATTTCCTGTAAGAAGTTTACTGATATGATTGTGTTATGTTCACTACATTTTTGTACTATATCTGATGATGGTTTATCCCCCCAAAAATATGATCAACAGATTTATTTAAAGGTAAAAGCTTTGAAAAAGTGTACAATTTATTGATAAACCATATTGATTCACAATTGTTTTTACAAAATAAGTTCAATAGAATGAATAACAGAATAACAGAATTGGAAGGGACCTTACAAGTCTTCTAGTCCAATCCCCTGCTCAAGGAGGAGACCATTTCAGTTGTCCAATCTCTTATTAAAAACATCCAGTGATGAAATACCCACAACTTCTGAAGGCAAGCTGTTCCACTGATTAATTGTTCTTTTTTTATAAAACAAGTTTTATTCAATTTTTCACATTGCAGATACTAAAAGATACTCTTTTCAGTGGACAACATATTTCCAGGTCATCACTTTTACATGCAAATATGATAATAGTTATATATTCATTTTTTACATTCAACTTCCTATCTTATCCAATTTTTACTTAATTCTATTATTACCTTTTCCATTCGAACTTTTACAAAAAAGAACAAAATAATCCTGATCTCTAATATTAATCTCAATCTAAACATCCTCTCGTTTCATTTCAATTATTTCAAGTATAATTCTTAAACATTAATATTTCTTTTAAGAATAAGGATAACAATATGTATTTGCCTAATAAATTATCATTATCTTTCCTTCCTCTTAATAGTTTATCTTAACTTATTAATACTCTTTTCTCATTTGAATAGTTTTTTTATCTATCAGATTATCCATTTCATCGCATATTCTTTTCATAATTCTAGATTAGTACGAGCTTTTATATATTCATTTTTTACATTCAACTTCCTATCTTATCCAATTTTTACTTAATTCTATTATTACCTTTTCCATTCAAACTTTTACAAACAAATTAATCCTGATCTCTAATATTAATCTCAATCTAAACATCCTCTCGTTTCATTTCAATTATTTCAAGTATAGTTCTTAAACATTAATATTTCTTTTAAGAATAAAGAATATTAATTTTTCTAACTGTCAGGCAATTTCTTCTTATTTTCAGATTGATTCTCCTTGATTAGTTTTCATCCATTGCTTCTTGTTCTGCCTTCAAGTGCTTAGGAAGTAGCTTGACCCCCTCATTCTATCAGCCCCTTAGATATTGTAATACTGCTATCATGTCACTGTAGTCCTTCTTTTCATTAAACTAAACTTACCCAAATCTGCAATGGTTCTTAATAATGATATGTTTTAGTTTCCAGTCCCCTAATCTGTCATGCTGTTCCCTGTACTTTTTCTAGCATCTCAACATCTTTTTTATATAGTGGTGACCAAAACTGGATGCAATATTCCAAATGTGGTCTTATAAAGGCATATAAATAATGTTCTTTGCTCATCCCAGGAATGCTTTTTATTATACAAATATTTAAATTAGAAGAATGTATCAAAAAGCACACACACACACGCACAGAGAGAGAGAGAGAGAGAGAGAGAGTACATGAACACCATATACAGTGTAAACTGAAAAATCTTCAACTTACGTATGTAGTCAAGTCAGAACTTGATGTGACTGGGGTCTGTTTCATGATCCCACATAATCCAGCTCTTTATGGAACAGTGAAGTGGTTTGTTCATTTGCTATAACGCTCTTGTTTGTATAGTAAGAGTTTTGAATTAGCACTGGGGAAACCCCAGTTCAGGTACATCCTCAAACCAGGGAAGCTTGCTGGGTGATTAATTCTTCTTCCTATCTACTTTAAAAGGTGGGTCTGGTAAGAAAATAAGATAGGAATGGTTATTGCCTACACTAATCTCTTGAATGAAAGATGAGGAATAAACCCATCAAAATGATTTAAATGTTACACTGATGAGTTGCAAACTTTATCAAAGAAGAAGAAACTCTGAATTTAAAAGTTGCCTTATCAAATAAATAAATGTCTTTCTCCCCATTCCTCTGAAAGTTCAGATTAAGAGAAACAACAATTATTAATTTATTTCCACTGACATAACTCAGTGGATCTCTTTTAAAGCTGATTATTTCAGTGGAAAAAATATTTTTTCTTTTTAGATAGACTGGCCAAGATAATCTAATACATGGTGGGTGAGAAACTTGAGAAT